ATATCCTCATTTTCAAATACTTATCAGCCAGGGCTGTCAATAGGTACCATTTCGGTTCTTTGTAAAGTCTATGAGAGATTTTGTTAAGCATCAAATTAATTTTGATTAAAAGGAGAAAAATAAGTTACAAGAAGGGTGTGTAGAAATGAGCATAATAAATAGTTTGAAATAAAATAAGCTTTTCTAGCCTATGTTGTTGGTGGCCAAGTTATTCTTAAGTATTACACACACTTTGGCACACAAGTTATAGCACCATGCTTCAAGATTATTTGGTTTCTTGCAGTTATTTTTATAGTTATCGACTTGTGATATAACTTTGCTAGCATTCTTAATATATAGTCACAGCTAATATAAGATTCTAATATCATCATAAACATAGTAGTGATTTTTCCCTGAGCTCTACTGTATGTTAAGTCAAATACGAACCACAAACCAGCTAAACCCGAAAAGTAGATTACATTTTCTTTGCCAGACTCACATCCACACACTCAAGCTGACGTGACATGTAAACAAATAGCAGTGGAAGTTAAGTATTCACTCAGTTATGTCACACATGAATTCTAAGATGTGATTTATATACCATAATTTTCATTTCAGTATCTATCCTATCTCCTAAGCTTTTACATTTTATGCAGATTTTTCCACCAGCGTAGAAATCTTTTTTAGTTAATGTCAACAAAACAGAGATACATTCGCCTCTGCTGCCAATTTCTGTAGAAATTGTATGGGAGCTAATGAATATCAATAATTTTTATTCATATATACATTTTGCTCTCATAATAATGTATATTTGAGAGTAAGTTTGTTTGAATTCGCCCCTTCACAGCCTTTGTTCTCTGAAAACTGCAGTTAGTGTAACGGGAAACAACTACTGACCTGTAAAAGAAACAACACTTCTCCACATCTTTTTGCCTTGTATCCCCATGTTGAATGTGCTGTTACTCTGATCATTTGTAGGTGCACTACAAAAAAGAACAAAGCATAGGTATTCCCAGGGCAGACAGAGGGAGCTGTATCTCCAGTTTTACTCTTTAAAGAGACAGCTATAAACAAAGTGTTAAATTTAAGTTCACAAACATTGTAAATTTAATAATATCTCTAGATTTTGTCTGAACACTGTAGGCAATCAAACTAGGCTTTAAAAGCACTTGCAAAGATGTGATTTTCCTAAAGAATAAGAGATAATGAAAATATTTTATTTGTTAAAAACATGAGAATAGTAAGAAATGTCACCAACCAATCATGTGCTGTTTGTTTTGTGTGTTTTTTTTTAGCTTACACTTCCACGAACAAGTATTCCAGTGTTTCTGTTTTGGAGATGTGAAAGGTATCGGAAAGCACAGTTTGTCATCTGCACTTAATACTTTTTTAGGTAGTTTGCTATGTTTAATAAAGTCAGATTGGCGGTTACTGAGTGTTCTGAAGAAAAGAAAAGCCTTTTCCTCTCATTTATCTCGAGACTAGCGTACATTCCATTCACAGACAGACACAGTTCTAACCACAAAGGACACAAAGGTAAGAATATACAGAGCTGGATTTAAAAGCACGTGTCTTCCCCCATTACTGTTGATTGTGCACTAGAAATCACGCCTCCATGTAGAGACATGGAGCTATCTCACCACTGCTGCTTATCCTAAAACAGGAAAAAGTGAATGAAAAAAGTGATAAAATATTGCATACATGTGTGTGAAATTTTATTAAGAATGTCAAGTTAACTTACTTAACATCGCCATAAAGTGTGGTTTTGTTTTTTTTTTTTCCATTAAGGTGTTCGATTTCACAGCTTCCTTCTTACAATTTGATTAAATGCTTTTTTTTCTTGCATCTTCCGCAAGGTCTGTGAGTAGAGGAAGGGCAGATGCCATTCTACTTTCACTCAATTTTTTTGCAATGTTTATTACAACACTGCAGTTTTAATTAATCCCCAAAAATCCTGTTTTAATTGTACTAAATGTCAGGTGTAAAAAGGCCTCCATATTTACTTTAATTCTGAAAGACTTGTAATAGCATACTAATTGCTATTAAACAACTTCCATATCAAAAAAATACATGTGTGGCTATAAAGACCCACAATCCATCAAACAGAATTTGTGATCCTGTGAAAACAGCCCTTACTGGAGAGATTTTGGGGACATGAGAGAAGCAGGTCTGAACTCTTTAATACTTGTGCTAAAGACATTAGGCAGGAGCGCGACAAACTGGCTTATGGGTTTTGTTACTTCTCTGGTTCTTCAAGTTCTTCTCATTTGTCACAAGTGCTTTTGTACACTGATACTCCAAATAATGAGTCAAAACTGAGATTAATTAATCAAATTAAATCACCAACAATCTGCATCTAGGACTGCTTGTCACAACCAGCTCACCTCCATGTGTCTCCTTACCTCAGGGCAAACATCCTCACACTTCCTTCCTCATGGTGCTGTGACACTCCTTAGAGTATAAACTTTCTAATTAATACCATGTCTTTTCCAATATAAACAGCAGCATTACAGCAAATTACTATGTGAACCAGTAATAATAATAGAAATGTCAGTCCAGAAAGCAGCATGCAAAGCCTTATACAACACTTGCTATTAGAGGATGGCCATTTGTTAATAGAGTGTAAAATAACTATATTTTCCATTCACAGTAGAGTAAGACCCCTCTCTTCCAATCGTCTGTCTGCCAAATACCACAACACATCTATACCAAAGCTCACATTTCTGACACACGTTTTTCCCAGTCAAGTACCAATCTCAGTAGATGTGACTATAAAAATACTGAGAAACTACTCAATTGTAACGCACACACAAAAAAAAAGATATTAATTATTTATATTACTTGAAAAATATATTAACCGTTCACACTCTGAAACAATGAAAATCTTACCTTCCTGCTTATCAACTCTTTGAATTCCATTGGATTAAATAATTGAGTCAAATTTTTAAAATACTTTTCAAAATAAAGTACATTTACAATGCATAAGAACAGTCCTGATAGCAGATTTTTGATCTTTTAAATTTTTTTCCCCAAATTCTTCTGAACTTCTAACAAGAACAGATATATTCTGGCAACATGTTCTGCACATACACATTTCTTGGCAACACCACCATCTTTCTACTACCACTACCTTCATAGATTCTATTTGATATTACTTGATAAAATTTGCTGTTCTACAAGTATTGAACATATCAGCCATTCTTGCTCTGCCCACTACATACAGTACCATGGGGTACTGCCACCATCTTTGTCAACACAGGCTACAGTTTTTGCTTCCTTGTTTTTCATATATGGTCTTGCATTTGGCCATTTTAAACCGAATATCAACTCAACTGGCAATTTTTTTTTTTTTTTTTTTTAAGAAATGATCTAAAATTTGTATCAGCAGGATTTAATTTTCATTAAGACTGATTTTCCAACAGATGTCATCACACTCACAAATACTGTGTTTGATTGTGTTAAAACAACAACAACAGTAAAATTTAATTCCACGACATGAACCACATACGTTAGGAAAGTTCAACATATGCTATGCGTGCAAGTATCCTGAAAAAAAATATAAAAACTTAATATCCTTCAGGTAATATAACTTCACCAACTAAACAGAAGCAAGGTTTAAAAATATCAGAATACTTTAACTAAGAATAACCAGAAGTTTTTCAGAGGAAAAAAGAAAGTTCTATTTTCTGGCACACAGAAATTAAAATTCAAGGACTTTTCTTACTGAAAGTTCAAGGCTGAAAGTGAAGAATCACAGAATCATAGAATGGCGTGGGTTGAAAAGGACCACAATGATCATCTACTTTCAACCCCTGCAGTACCTCACCACCTTCTGAGTGAAAAACTTCTTCCTAATATCCAGCCTAAACCTCCCGTCTCAGTTTCAAACTATTCCCTCTTGTCCTGTCACTATCCACCCTTGTAAACAGCTGTTACCCCTCCTATCTGTACACTCACTTCAAGTATTGGAAGGCCACAATGAGGTCTCCCCAGAGCCTTCTCTTCTCCAGGCTAAACAAGCCCTGTTTCCTCAACCTTTCCTCGTAGCAGCCAGCCATAGTGCTCCAGGCCCCTGATCATCTTAATGGTCCTTCTCTGGCTCAGGATGCCTCCCATCTTAACCTCTCTAATGTTCTCCTCTGCACTGGTGAGCACCAGGTCCAGTAAGGCTTCACCTTGGGTTGGTGAAGAGACACTGAGAATAATGAAACCAATCCTCTACAGACAAGAGCTCAGTAACTGATGCATTTCCATGATTGTGCAACTCCAACCTAAAAGGAATTGCAACCTTCAGCAAAGATAAAGTTTTAATGTCTTCATATAGTTTCTAGGATCCATGTGCACACAACTGGCAGGTCTTGCCCTGAAGCACGTTCCTGAACAGCACATAGCAGTGCACTGTAGCTGTTCTAAGCCTATAGCAGAAACACAATTTTTCCAACCTACAATTGGAGTACATTTCAATATGGAACCTAAACTAAAAATAGTTTCACCATTTATATTTAATGTTACCTTAAATAGACATTTTTTCATTCAAACATCTGTTGTCTCTAAGATGTCAACAGCAAATAATATTTGTAGTGGAATGTTGTATTTAATATTTAATAATACATATAACGAAAGTAGTGAAAATATTGAAATTTCAGAAGAGCCCATCATCATTCACCTGGTGTTTTAGATTACTAATCTATGTTATAATGACCAAGCTTTATCAAAGAATTAAACAATATTCAAGTATTTAATGAACATTATAGGTGGCTAATCTAAATTTATCCTAAAAAACTCCAGAGAAGTAAGCAATGTGAGAAGGATGCTTGATGAAAGTCAAATCTGGAATGATCCAGTGCTCTTCTGAAAGCTAGTGAAGTAATTATTTAGCTCAAAGTCAAATACTGCATTTTCTTATTCTCTCTGCTAGTCTCCAGTCTCTTCTCTGCAAATGATATCCTGCTATAGATTTTATTATTCAAATATTCAAATAAGGAATTTCTTTTTCCTTAAAAGATGAGTCAGAGGTCAAGTAAGTTGAAACATGTTATTATGTAATCATTATTAACATGCAAAAACAGCAACAGCAATGAACTTTTACAATACAGTACAAATCTACAGCTAAATCCAATTCATTTTATCTTAATCAAAAATATATTACCAATTTACTAGTTAGTATGCTATCCAAGTAGGAAACTGGCTTTAGCAGTTCACTTATAAAATAGAACTCACTGCTTACCTACAATAACTCTTATTAAAACATCATCTGCAAAGGAGAATACATTGGAGGAGTCAGAATAGGCTGATTAGTAATGATTTCATCAACACATCAAACTTTTACTTGACCTATGCACAGAATTTAGGACTACAGGAATAACTTCAAATTATCTAGTACAAATCTTCCTGCTGTTTGCTCACTGCTTATAATGTCCAAATGCAATACAGAGGCCTTCTGAAGTACCTTTTTTCTCAAAACCTATTCATTATTTAAAATCAATAAACATTAAATAACCAGGCTATCATGTATGTAAATATTTTCTTATTAACAGAGGTAAGAGATCATTCATAAATTCCTGGATTAGGCATAAGGTTATGATATCAATTTATGCAAGATCAAGCTACTGTCATACAGATGTTAATTCAACAAATCAACAGACACAGGTTTATACATCAATCATTTTTTGTATCGTGAGTTTTTCAGCTAGCTTAAAAAAATATACTAGGTTAGGACAGTCAGTTGACTTTGTTGTATGACATCACCAGCCATAAAAACATGTCCATCTCAATCAGCTACTGAATTTAGACTGGAAGTGTCAGAGTTCTGAGTTGAGTCTAAAGGAAATATTTTAAATATATCAAAACTGGTTTATAAAAGTTTTAGGTTTTGTCCTTTTTAAAGATAAACATTTCGTATAATCAGCAACACCCGCTCATGCAACTTATTTTACTTATTTTATAACTTTACCTTTTGATCTTCTACTTTACACCCTAATAAAAAACAAGTACAATGATGGGAAACATGTTTTTAACAGCCTTTTCCACTTGATTTTTCTGTTTGATTTTATCTGTCCAGTTAGTCCTCCAGAAAATGAAACTGTAGGAAATGATACAATTACATGATGATTCATCTTTGTTTCAGAGTTTAATAGCAGCTCTTAGCTTGGCCGACCTCGCTCTTGGGTTTGTTAGAATATCCTTGGCCTGGGGCGTGAGAACTTTTTTCTGTATAAAAGTCCACTTTGAGTTGGATTTTCCATGGGGGAATTCTTGTGTATCTTCTTCCTTGGAGCAATTTTTCAGAGCCCGTCTTATCTTCTGCCTTGAGCCAAGATTGTACTTTTCTGTCATGTCTATTCCATGAAGAAAACGTTTGATGATACGATCTTCTAGTGAATGAAAGGAGAGGGCTACAAGACGACCTCCAGGTTTTAGAAACTTCTCAGCTGTCTTCAGCCCTGTTATGAGTTCATGAAGCTCATCATTCACAAATATTCGTAGACCTTGGAAAGTTTTGGTAGCAACGTGTGTAGGTCTCTGAAGCAGATCTTTTCGTGCATACAATGCTGATGCTGGAAAAGCACCTGTCATACATTTGAAAAGGCACATGTCACAATTTTGTTATTTCCACATTGCTATTCTGACATTAAGCCATGTATACATGATGACTTTAAAGGAGTGCGTACTTACCACAGAACCCTGGGTGAGCTTCCTTCTTTTAAATGCATAATTATCTTCTGCTTTAGATCCCCTTTCCTGAAAGTAAACCCTATTACACTGAGCTGGCTTGCAGGTTTTCCTACAACCCATTGGAACTGCTTCCTCAAATGCTTCAAGTTAAAATGCAAAACGATAGCTGAAACCAAAATAGGGAACAAATGAAGATGGCTAGATAAATCCTACATCTTCCAACTCATTGGTGTAGTCAACACTACACCAATGTGTAGTGACAGTTTGTGAAAGTTCATTTCATTCCTTTAATGGCAGGTCAAAAAAAAAAAAGATGGACACTAATTTTTAACTGTTGCCTTCTAGCTTATAATTCATATATTTTCACGCAGAGATATAATGAAAACAATGTTTTCATTTCAACTCACCTAATGGTAAGTATTTTTCAATTAATTACTTAAAAGCTTAAAAGAGACATTCTTGTTTGGAGACAAAAATTCATGCTCACTAAACCAGTGCTCCTTCAAATGTTCATGAAAGGATCTAAGAAACTTCGAAAATGCAGCTAACTTTGCCAATTTTTGACACAGCAGAACATGCCAAGGTAAGAGTTACTCAGAAGAAAAATCACCAGCTTAGGTGACACTGGTGGCACTAAACTCCAGAAACTCTGTTCTTGACCTTCCCCAGAGATCTTATGAGTTATTCAAATCTCTTTATAAAGAGACTGAAAATTTGATGGAAACTCTAATATAGCCTCATTTGATGTATTTTAGGCTTGAACCTTCATTATCAAAGTACAGAGCAGAGAACTGGAGATTTGATGGATCAAAGTAAAAAAAAGTACAAGAGCCTACAAGATCTGTGAAACCTGAGTAAACTTATGATCTATTATGTAAGTAAATGCAGAAGTCATAGAAGCACAAACGGAAATAATTACTTCTCCAAAGAAGAGGGTCCATTAAAGATAAGACAAATACATCACGTATGTATTAAAAAGCCTTAATTCCATTCCAGTACTAAACTACAAAATTATTAAGTAATGGATTTGAAGTAATTGTAGTTCATAACCAAGTAACCAAGTAATTGATAATGTAATGGAGAAACTATTTTCTTCAAACGGGCAACTAATAGCTACAAATACAAGGAGTTTGCTCAGAAATGCCAGGGTCAAAAATCGGACTATAATGTATTGAAAAAATACACCAGGATGCACATATTGCAATTGCATTCACTAAATGACTAAACATACATGGTTTTGCATTCTCCATAAGACGTGTTTCAGTCAGAGTAAAATTTTTCTTCGATTGAATTCAAAACAGACACATCAGATACTTCGGTATCTTTTGAATTCAACTACAAAAGTCATGGGTTCTTGACTATGTCATAGATTTGAAAATCACATCAGGCAACAAGTCTATTTCTTCCCTCTTCCAAGCCTACTTTCAAAAAAATTGAAAACATACCTCACACTTTTCTCTGCACTTCCAAAACCAAGCCTGTGTTCACTATACTGAAAACAGCCATAACTTGAATGAAAAAGTTATTATTTCCTACTAACAAGCTAGTTGGCTTAGAATGCGCTCTATTTTTTCTTCCACCTAACTTGTACTATTCTACCACTTTTATCCAGACTCTCCTTTCTCTTGCAACTTGCTAAAAAATTTACAGCTGTGACGTCAAGAGCATCAGTTTTACACTTTCAATTTTGGACTGTTACTATCCATAGCTGGTGTTCACCTCTAAAAGTAGATCCACAGCATTTTTCACTGTTGTATTTTAATAGTCTATTTTAGCAGCCTAAATATTCTCTAAAAAATACTGCTAGCTTTCTGTGAATAATCTATTTCTGATATTCTAAGCATATTCCAGCTTCCAAAAGTATTACAGATAAAAATGAAGTCAACTCACAAGAGTACAGGATGAAATTTTGGTACAAAACTGAGTGCTTATTGATTGGAAGCCCAGAATGAGATTCTTTACTTAAATTTCCACAGTCAATCTCACTGGAATTTTAGTGAAATACTCAAAGTTTTAGGCTCTGTGTCATCAAAATATCTTTGACTTTTGTGAATGAACAGGATGCTATACAGATCTGCTCAAAATTATTTCATAAAAGTCACTAAGTGCTAATCTCTGGTCAGATAATTGTCCAGTGTGGCTGAGTGCAACATCTTCCCTCAATAATCTTCTATGATGATAAACTTTGTTTCAAAATATCTATAAATTAGGAAGGAAATTTGAAAAGCAAATCCTTGCAACATAGATTTACGAGAAACTTGGAAGAGAAATAAAGAAATTAAGACCCTAATATATTCTGTAAATGCATTAACACATTACAAGCCTCAGATGAGCATGTGCAAACATCACATGTTGCATCATTGCAAGTCTAGCAGCATTGTTGGACATAGATACTGGCAAAGAATCCAATTCAGGAAACTGGTAAAAAAAAAATATAGCCACTGTGTAGTTTTATGCAACCAAAAACCCTAACTAAAACCATAACATCTTAAAATGCAATGGCTTATTGGTTTGTCTTTAGAGATTGCTATCAGCTGATATATATAATTTGTGGTAGTGGTTTCTGTCACACATATGGATCCTCATCTCTTTCAACAAACACAGCAGATATAATCTATGTGCCACCTTTTTTTCTATTCACTCTTAGCCCTCTGGTATTGTTCAACAAAATCTACCAGTATTTTCTGCAAAAGTCTCTCACCCAGCCCCCTCCGATTACCACAACACTAAAAGAAAATCCTTCCTGGTAACAGGCTGTACAATGTACAAAAATACATACGTAAAGAACCGTATGGGAAGCTTGCAAAATGAAGTTCATTCATAAAAACATCACACTTCTGGCTAGACAACTGGCTTGAAATCCCACTGAGAAAAATTATCATTTTTAGTTTTGGGATGCCCTGATGCTACTAACACTTTTAAAATTGAAACAGATTCACAAGTTAAAATGTATTGAAATTCTTAAGCTTGTGAATGAAATTAGCAGCGTGCTGTGCCTGTCAATAAGAACTATTAAAGTCCCCAGAGTGCATGAGTGTGGGAGAGTTTAAAAATTAATTCAGATTGTGCACCTGTTTGCAGGAATTCGTCTGTTGAATTAGAATTGCATTTAATAAGTTTCTGTGACGCAACCAATGTCCTTTTGTCTAGGCTCCCTCAGTACAATGTTAATTCCCACTCTTCTGAAATTCAGGCAATATTACAAACTCCATACTGACCAAGTCTATAAATGTGGACCAGTCTGAATGAGCTTTTTAAACTGTTGTTTCGTTAATACCTCATCGTTAGCTCCTTTCAAGTCAAGTCCAAAGGATTACCACATACTTAAGTGTCATTACAAAAAAATACCAATTGTGAAAACAAACAAAAATATAAAAAAATTATATTCACCCGCTTGAAACAAAAATTGAGAGTTGTATAGAAAAAACACAATAAAATTAATTTTATTTTCACAATTTCTAACCAGTTTTCCCACCTATCCAGTTAATTCTACAATTTCAAAACAGAACTCAAAGAGCTTCAGCAACAGCCATCAGAAATGTTTCTTAGTTGACTTCCACATATCTATTTACAGTTGTTCAGCTAAGAACGTCTGTTCATTGTCTCATTGTCACAGATATCTGCAATGAAAATTGTAAGCAGTACAGTCAAACTGCTGGAGAAAGAGATGATGTTCACATCAGTGATAAAAAAAAAAATTCCTCTTTTTTTCCCTATGTAAACTCTAGACCCCATAGATTACTCAGAGACCTCCTTATTTAAATGGATCAAAAGCTTTTAGAAGTACTTTGTCTTTTTTTTTTTTGTAGGATCTTATTCAATGGCAAAGTCTGTAGAAAGACAACTTCCAGGCTCTACGCCAAGAGTTAGGAGGACTTGTTTTCTGGAGCTGCAACAAAAGACTGTAATAAATGTGTTGATACCTGAGCTAGCCTCAAGCTGTTGTAGGCAAACTCAACATACAGGTCTGTTTATAATTTTTTTAAGCTGTACCTTAGCATTCTAATTCCTGTCAATACAAACTTTAGAAATGTCTGATTGTCATGTCACTGTTGTGGAGGTGGGTGCTGGCTTTTTTTCCAGTTTATATCCTTCAAATTTATCTCCCAATCAATCAGTAACAGCAATATATCCTCTAACTCTTTCATTTTTGTTTCTTAGGTAGTCTACACTAGCACTTGCCTTTTCCAGTTTCAGGCTAGTATAAATCTAGCTTGAATTCACTGGGATTCACTGAGCAGCCAGAACTTTACACAGAGTTTGGAGTTCTAGAAAATCTGAGGTCATACTAAATAATCACGTGAAAAAAAGAAAAGGGACTATATATGAATTATATATATTCAAATCAACAAAGGTATTCAAATCAACAAAGAGATACATAGAAATAACCGGTCTCCCTGACTACATCTTTTGCTTGTATTCTAGCTTGTTAATCAGGCAGAAAATGTTCTTGTTCTGGAGATAAAATTGTGCTCTGATAGAATCTGGAAAATTTTAAACATGAGATTTTATTACTATAATGATTTAATTGCTTATTTTTAAGGACTTGGCATTTAACTAATAAGTCATAGAGCTTAATCTGCTTTAAATCCTTAACTAGTCAAGGTTTTCTAAGCTGGGCTACAAGAGGATTCTACCACTGTAATCTGTGGTCCTTTTGTTATTGTTTACCTTAATAACTTCATGGATATCATTTTGCAGAAGAACTGATCATCAATTGAGCTGTTAAACTTACCAGAAATTTTCTTAATGCGTACTCATTTCTAAAACTAGTAAAGATTTACCTTTGACTTCCTTTACTGGAGAAATCAAATTAAAACTGCAAAAATTTCTACCCAAAAACAGATAAATGTAGTGGTCCTAAAACTCTTTTAACTTACACACTCCACAAGAAGTTCAAAACACATTTACTGCCTGGCAGAAAAATTTTCCTTGGCACGCTCAGTAAAAACTGCCTTCCTGATTTCACATATTAAGCAGCTCTTCAAATATATTGGAGTTTAACGTGAGAAGAAGAAAAACCCTGTCACTAAGGCAGAATGTGACCATTAGGTGACAAGTCACGTGCAATCCATTAAACATAAAGGCATCGCAGAAACGCAGAATGGTTGAAGTTGGATGGGACCACTTGGGATCAATCAAGCCCAATCCCACTGCTTCAAGCAGAATCACCTAGAGGACATTGCCTAGGAACACATCCAGGCAGGTTTTGAATATTTCCACAGAAGGAGACGCCACAACTTCTCTGGGCAGCTTGTTCCAGTGCTCTGTCACCCTCACAGTGAAGAAGTTTTTCTCACATGCAGATTTCCTGTGTTTTAGTTTGCACCTGTTGCCTCTTGTCCTGTTGCCAGGCACCACAGAAAAAAGACTGGTCCCTGCCTTGGTACACTCCCTTAAAACATATTTACACATTAAGAAGATTCCCTCTTCAGACTTCTCTGGGATGAACAGGCCCATCTCTCACAGCCTTCCCTCATAAGGGTGATGCTACAGGTCCCCAACTATCTTGGGGACCCAATTTACTATCATCAGCAAACTTAGTGAGGTTGCACTCTGTGCCTTCACCCAGGTCACTGATGAGTAAGGTGAACAAGACCAACCCCAGTACAGATCGCTGGGGGACACCACTAGCTAGTCCTCCAGTCAGATCCAGTGTTGTTGATCATCATATTCTGAGACTTGCCATTCAATCAGTTCTTAATCCTTCTTGCTGCCATTGTTTTTTCAAGTCTTCAGAATACAGACAGAGCTTTTAAAATTCAGTAATGAATAGTGATACATTTGGGTAACCATTTTAAAGTTCTAAATTTTGTTGTCGACAATTTATAGCTGTTGGAGACCCAGTAATTTTCACTTCTTGGTTAAATAAAAAGACCCAACAGTATATATTAGAATGTTGAGGCACAGTATTTCTATCATTCATTTTTCCTTGAAAACTTTGATTCAAGAATACAAACATGAAGGTTTTAAATGTGAGCACAGCTGCTGCCTAACTACATTTTGTTCATGTTGTTTACAGTTAAGAGCAGGTAAGATGAAGTGTTTCAATAGGTGCTTCAGGCTGCTCTAGTTGGCATTCACGAGATGAAGCAAGCTACGTATTGCTTTATTTTTTTTGCTTCCTTGTTCTTTAAGCAGAGGGAACAAATCTAATTTCATTCATAATTGGAAACTTCCCTTCAAAATCAAAATATTAAAATGTAGAAAGTTAAAACTATGAGATGCATATGACGTATCTGATATTTGAATGCTTACCAATAGCTGGGATAAAAAACTCCCTAGGCTGCTGTCATTCTGTGTTTTAACTTGGTAGGCAAAATGATAAATCACTTCATGTAAAATCTATTATTAAACTAATCGGCAAAATACAGTATAACAAGTGGGAACTTACAGGGGGAAAAAAGAGAACTGACATCAGAGCAGAATAGGCAGGATCAGATCCTGCATGATTTCAAGTACAAATAGATCCCTCTGGGACTTTGGGGATTAATATTTTTTCCTCTTTCAGCCACTGTGAAGAATTAATGAGGGTACCTGCAACAATGCTTGCAAGCTGCTGAGTTCTGGTGATGGGATATATGCTGCGTGCCTGAACGATGGCTGAAGCGATTTTCTTGGCGTGCTTCTCCTCCCCGTATGCTCTCAGGATGGACGCAAGTGCCTGTTGATCTAAAGCATTCACAACATCAGCAGCAGTGGGCATGTCAGGGTACCTACGCACAAGAAGAGCCAATTAGTTCACTGACGTCAGTATTCATTGACAAGAGGTGAAGCTTCATAGCTTTGAGACAAAGTCAAACACACACAGTGCATACAAGTGCCTTTGAGGTTTTCAAGTAAGAGACAGCAAACCTATGAAAATGCACTTCTTGTTACTTTGAGTGGAGTTTGCTCCACAATATCAATTAAAACAGCTGAAACTTCCAAGTACGATAAACTATGTCTAATGAGTTGACGAGGATAAATATAGTTCAGTATCATGCTAAATTGGAAATGCGGTGCGACTGTTCCTATTTTCACAGCTTTAGAATATAAACTTGCCCCTTAAAGGTTCATTTTAGTTACCTTGAAATGTACTTTTTTTTTTTTCTTCCAGAACTGATCTCAAGGATCTTTTCTTTCACATTTCCTGCTATGAAAACAATTGCTTGTGAAAACAATTCAACTTTACATTTCATTAAGAGGCATAAAAATTTATATCCACATATTGTTTTTGAGAGAATACAAGTGATCCAATATTACAAATGAAAGGAATTATTACAATTGAAAGGGTTTAAGTCATACATACGTATTTATTTTTAATCTGTGCCACTTCACTATTGAAACAGTTCAAAGCATTAACTGTTCATCATCTAAGGATTAACTAACGTGAAAAAGCATGCAAACTACTCAATAAATTCCCTCTTACAAAGACACTAGCATGCTGAACATTTTTCAGGCATTCATTACTCTCCTGCAGAATCTTAAAAAAAAGATAACAAAACTTAGATATCAGAAGCAAGGTGTATCATAGCAACAACTGTAGCAGAAGGCTTTTGTCATGCCACAGGTAGCCTTTGTTCTTATACACTGTTACACGTATGTATCCTCATGATGCAAATACAAGTCTGAAGTTCAGACTCATGAAATCAGAGGGCTGAATCCCAGGAGCATCACACGGGATTTTTACACAAAAATACTAAAAGGAAGCACCAAGAAATTTGCCGTGTTAAGTCTTAATGTTAATGTGGTAGAACAATTGCTAAGAAACAGAGGTTTCCCGTAGGCTCTATGTGAACAACGAAAGACCAAATTACATTTCTTAAGACTACACGTTCATCAAAACGAGACAGATTTTCATACTCCTAGTAGTAATATATTATACATTTACTGCCACCATCTATGCAACACAGATCTCTGTCATTTTCACATAAAAAGCACAACACTACAGGAATATATACTAGGTCATTTGAAGATGAAAACCGCTGTGTAAGTGTAATTTCATGCTCCTAACTCAGCACCAATACTGATTATTTTAAGTATAGGTGATTCACTTGGTAATTGTTAATTTAACAATTAAATAAGGCTGATGTGCCTCCTGAACAATACAAAATAAAACCAGCAAGGCTGACAAGGAAAGTGCAATAGCATAACATTATTCTAGTACGTTAAAAGCAACTTTGCGGTCGGATTTTAACTGTTAAATATCACCAATAGGATATATGTATATATTTTTAGACTTATTTTAAGGTTTCTTCTACAGAAAAGAAAATGGGTCAGGCGGTCATTGTAGAAAAGAGGGAGGAACATGATTTGGTCAAGTGATCACTCCATGAAAAGTAAGTGTTGCAAAAAAAGGAAAGGGTACGCGGTAATGAATTGTGAGCCTCCAGATCCAGCAGTCTGAGGTAGGGCAGAAATAGCAGAGAAAACAGGCCTCAGGTTGTGTTGAAACCATACAGAAGGCTTCCTGGGAACAACACAGCCTGTACAGACCTTGCTGCAATGCAGCCAATAAACAAGTTGGCTGAAACCAAGACTAGATATCACACAATGACCAAACAGGAAAGGGCAGAGTAGCTTCCCCTTTTAAAGAACGAAAGAAAGGAAAAAGCAAATTGTCTTTCCTACTCACTCCCGAATGAAAGGAAACTGAAATCCTAACAAATATTTTAATATTTTAATAAAATCTGGTTTTCTTCTTAAACAAATAAAGTAGCATGGTCAGCAAGAAGGTTATCTTCCCTCTCTACTCTGCCCTGGTGAGGTCATACTGGGAGTACTGTGTCCAGTCCTGGGCTCCCCATTTCAGGAAAGGCAGGGAACTTCAGGAGGATTATTAGGGACCTGGCATCTATTAGAAAGGCTGGGAGACCTGGAACTGTTCAGCCTGGAGAAGACTGAGAGGGGATCTTTCCAGTGATTATAAATATCTAAAGAGTGGGAGACAAGAGGAAGGTCGAGGCTCTACTTGGTGGCGAGCAATGACAGGACAAGTAGCAATGGCCAGAACTGGAACACAAAGTTCCATCTGAACATGAGAAAGAACTTCTGACTTTGAGGGTGGCAGAGCGTTGGAAAAGGCTGCTCAGGGGAGCTGTGGGGTCACCTTCTCTGGAGCTATTAAAATCCCCCTGGATGCTTTCCTGTGTAACCCACTTTAGGGAACTTGCCTTAGCGGGTGGTTGGACTCAACGATCTCCAGAAGTCCCCTTGAGCTCCTACAATTTTGTGATTCTATAAAAGCCTCCACATCTTCCTTGTGGAATGCACTACAGAAATAGATCTTGGAAATTCATCTCAAAGCTCTGGCTGAGCGTCCTGTCAACATAACCATACTTGGCATTTTCTTTTGCTCTCCTTAACATTATCAGAATCTGTAAGCCTTACAGTAAAACTTGTCCCTACAGCTGCATACCAAAAAGGTAAGATTTGAATGGTGTAGTTAAGATAAACATTACTAGATTAATTACATATCACTGGAATGTTCCTCCTGTTTTAAAAAAGAAAGGAACATAGCCAGGATTCTAATTATTGAAAATTTTAAAAAGTTTTGTAGCAAGATATTGACAGTATATTTGAGCAAATTTAGGTACAATTTTCTTATGTCATTTCTTCTCTTTAACAAGAAATGAGATACACAGTGTTACTGAGCACACAGTTGAGTTCCAAGGAGAAATATTTTATTAAAAATTACCTGTCACTATCCATCCTCATGTCCAAAGGTCCATCCTTCTGCAGGGAAAAACCTCTTTCAGGTGTATCAAATTGCATAGAAGAACATCCAGCATCCAAGAGAACTCCATCTAGAGTTCCAGGCTCAACTCCAGATGAGATTAACAAAGCCTCTGACTGGCTAAACTGTCCTAGAAGAGCTTGAATCTGTTTCCTGTAAGAAAACCAGAAATAAAACCCTTCATTTTTAACAGTGCAGTGTTTTCATATCATACAGAAGGAATTAGTTGGTAACGCTTACCTATCTCTGAAGTAATAGTGTTATTCCCAAAGTAACAATTTAGGTACTTTTCATGTGCCAGCATGCAAAACTGATTCTACTCACCCATCAGTGGTTATTAAGCTTGTCTTTACTTCCTTCCTGCTTAATCTCAAAATACCCAAAGTGCTCACAACAAATCAGAAACCTGATAAAATTTCATTTTTCAGTATGGAAGAACTCAGAGTCATCTTTCACACCCAATGGGAATTCTCTGACCACCACATTATTCCTTACTCTGGGCATGACTCCTAGTGATGGGATGCCAAAACACAGAAAAAAAATGAATGGTTCTTGGACCTAAGGAAAAGCAGACAACATGGAATATGATGGCCCAGTCTTGTGGTTAATACTCTTTTGTCAGGAAAAAAAGTCTTCAATCCTTGCCATGGGACAAACACATGTTTTCATGGTAGCTGTCAATTCAAAAATAATTGGGCAAAATTAGATGCACTGGATCAAAAGCAAATAAAAGGTAGCAGGGTTGTTTTGATTTAGTCAGCTAAACAGTGTGGAGAATAGAGTTTTATATGCTTTCTTTGTGCTTTGTATTGTTCTTTCTTGCTTAAGATTCCTCTACTGGAGAACAAAAGTGGCATGGTAAGGGAAAAGAACATGTCTGAGATGTCCAGCTCTGTCTTGGGATCTAAACATGTACGTTAGATTCTAGTCTATCTATAAAGGTGACCTACAAGCAAATCACTTATTTACTTACTGTTAAAATTTCAAAAAATTTAAAAAGTCTAGCCAACGTGCTGCTGTACCTGCAAATTTTTAGTCTTTTAATCAGTACCTGCAAACAATCAAAGAAACAAACAGAAAACAGTATATTTTGGCACCTAAAAATAAATCACTGCCTCCACATTAGAGTTCTGATATTTGCTGGCTAAGTACTCCTCAGTCCCATACTCAAATTGCTACAAGACACTCAAGTTAACTCACATCATTGTTAAAGTCACACGGGCAATAGTGAGTGGATGGAGAGCACAATACCTTACTACAGAAGGACAATGCTTACATGTTTTCTGAGGAGTCAACATTATAGACATTTTGGGGAAAAAATAAAACTAAAAAAGAAAAAAAAAAGAAAACAAAACCACAACCTCCCCCCAAAAGAACTGAAATATTTTTTACAACATCAGCTTAAGTCTAATCCATCTTTCAGGTCAGTTTAACATAAACACAAGTATTATTTCCATCTAGCTGACTCCAGAAATTGCAATATTAGAAGAGCTCATGAACAGGAGGGAATCAGAACTATTTTTTGTACCCATGCAATTAGTGAGGAAATGCTACAAGGGGAAAAAAGAGTAAATGCTCCATTAAAAGGAAGATGCTATGAACACAACCATGTGGAAGAACATGCAGGTATATAATGGTATCCTCATTAAAATAGAACGAATCTACTTAACGTAGCTCGAAAACTGAGAAATACCTCGAATGAACAGATTTCATGAGGGATAAAGTGTTCACACATACACGCTTCTGAACTGAGTACTGTCCAGCATGTAATTAAAGACAACTATTCAGCCAAATGAGAACTGAATTCCTGAAAAGTACAACGATCTATTTAACACGTTTAGCTTAATTTAAACTCAGTAGTTACTTGAGATAACTCTGAGGTTACATTTCCCTTCAATACGAAAAGAATTTTCTTGAAACTCCGCACCACTTTGGGCAATCCAGCAGTATTCCTAAATTTAGAGCTTCTGTAAATGAATGAACTTTACAATTCTGTATGTGGGAGATGAAAACAAATTAAATATGAAAAAAAAAGAGGTAACTATTTTCCTTTAATTAAAACTGTCCAGTTCCTCAACAGTAAGTGTTGGCAGCTGTGAAACAGCACTGTCTGGTGCTAACAATCATTCTGAAAAAACAATTTTGAATTATATTTGCATCTTGCTAGAAATTTCATTATATTTCTTTAAAGAAACTGTTTGTGTTAAGCCTTTGAGATTAGGAAAAGGTACATAAACATGCATATTTGATGTAAGTTGAAATTTACTGTTTGGAGAGAGATTCTTCAGATGGAAAGTGTTCTGGAGTTCACCAATAAAGATTGAAAAAGAATTAGACAGACATTTGGATGTCACCCTTTCAGCTGTGAGAAAATAAAGCCTTTGTATATAACCTGTGTGTTACGTGACTAATTTTATACCAATGGTGGAGTCAAGCGTCTTGGTGAATATAAATCTTTAATAAAAGCAGGTGCATCTTATGAGATTATAATAACTAGATTAAAACCTTCAGTTCTTTGAATTGTTTATTTCTGAATCAGAAGAAACAACTTCAAGCACCTCGGTTATCTCAAGGTATTTTAATTAATGAAACCAAATACGTAGCTATGAGTGATCAGTTATTACCTTATGAAAACAAATACAGATGTCAACCTTTTTTATTTTACAGAATGGTGACAATGATGGAATGGTAATGTTGACAAGGACTCATGTATTAGATCATATGTCCCAGTCTTCAGGCTTGCCTGGATCACAATGAGTTAAGAGTGGTTATCTTGGATTACACATAAAATATGTAATATAGTTAATGTGTGTAAGTAACAAAAAGTCTTTTTTATTAAAACATAAAAAAGAGGGTAATAAAAACATAGAACTAGCAGGTTGGACACGTATGCGTTAGATGATGAGTATGACATTTACTCAAGGAAAAATGTTTCACCATGCACTCAGAAGCATTTATTAAAACATAATAAACTCTTCCCTTGTCTACTATTCTTCATGCCTCTGTCCAAATACCAATGGTATGCTATGCAAGATCTTCTTGAGAAAATGTTTCAATTCCTTCACCTTCAGATTTTTGTTTACATTGCTGTAAAACAGCCTCAAATAAACAAACAACAAAAACTGTGCACACTACTCTAAAAGGGAGCATGGCCTACATTTACAGGTCACTGGCTCTTCCATGAATAGGGAAATTCTTTATGCTTTTTTTTTTTTCCCCCAGTGCTCTGATGTTTTAAAACCGCTCGTCTCTTCAGTAAGAGAAAAATGTTAAACACAGTAGACGAATACCACTCTACGTGCTCAGACTATTTCAGACACCTAAAAACACTGTGAATAGCTTGTAGCCCAAACCTACACATAGAGAAATAAGATGTGAAAGATTAAACACCAGCTTAAATGTATTCAGCAAGAAAATACAACAAGGCAATGGTGTGAAGACATGAAATCAGACAATGCTCGTCACATTTTTAGCTTCCATTTGGCTTGCTTTTTTCTTTTCGTTTTTGTAAGAGCACGACAAGTTTTAGCAAATTTCCAACTGATGCTATCAAGCTACTGCTAACTTCTCAAAATATTCAACACCCACAGTCTCTCTTCATCAATTTTGACATTCTCCAAGGAAAGAAGTATTCCCTAAGAATGTAAAGGAACAGTGGGTACACACACACACAGTGTAAGTCAATTTCAAAAATAATTAAGTCATTTCACCTGCCACAGAAGTTCTTGGGGCCTTAATAGATTTCACTGTAAAACAATCTCAAGGATTTTCAGACTTCTTGTACTGTCTGCAATAGTTCAAAAGTAAGACATGACCTCAGGTTCAAGACCCTTCAACTCAGGTCATAGCACAGTATTTAATTATATTATACTACGACACAGAGTACAGAATTTATGACAGATAGCACTTGGATCCATACTTCTCAGTTATATGAAAGAATCAAAAAAGAGAGAAGAACTCAAAGTCTAATCCATTTCTGGCTCTTCTGCTTTCAGTTAATGTGATTTTATAAATGCTTCATGAAAATATTTCACTTTTATTTCCCTCAGCTGAGAGGGATGCGCACAGAAAACAAAAGTAAAACATGAATATAATTTCTACAAAATAAACAGAGAAAATGTTTCCTCTCACCTCGTTTCTCTGAGTAGTCACAGAGGTTGCTGTGACATCAATCACAAGTAATTTCATAGAAAACTATGATTATGCTTTCATGCCACTTCAGTATTTTTACATGCATATAACGGTAGTTGCTCTTGATCCTCTCACCATTGCTACTCCTACAAATTCTATGTTTGAATAGACAGAATGTCAGGAAGTGATGATCCCTTGTCAGTAATGAAAGCTACCATCTACTCAACCCAGAGTAAATGGTTCCTTTGAGAGAGCCAAAAAAAAAAAAAAAAAAAGTTTTTCAGGTAATTCTTGCCAAAGCCATGAAATGAGGGGACCAGTCTGGTGCATCGTTTTGATTCAGTAACTCCACTGAGACTGCCAGAAGGGGTGCCAATTAGTATCAGCTGTAATTAGGATACTGGTACAGGACTGGTTTGATAGCATTGACTCACTTCACCTAGGTCACCCAACAGCTGTCAGACAGCTGCCACTTCCACTCACTGCTGCTCTGAGCCAAAAACATCTACAAGACGAAGCACACCATTTGTAAATCCCTGGAACTTTCAACATCCTACGTGGAAATTGTTATGAACATTACTCAGCCTCAGTGCAACCCTCTTCTCTGTACATGTGTTTGTATATTGTGGAAAAAGCCCATACATCTGTTTGAGAACAAACAGATCGGTCTAGGTTGGGTTTTGTACTACAAAATTACAAAGCCAAATAACCAAATCACAGACTGATTAACAAAGACCTGGAAACAGGAAGAAATATACATTAAAAGCAGCTCCCAGAAAAAAAAGTTTGTGTTTTCAAATGTAAGGACTAAAATCACAATTTTATCCTGCTTATTAAGATCATAGAAATACCAGTTGTAAGCATTCAAGAGTTGGCGAACATCTAAGTACCAAGTGTTCTCACTTATGGCTTGGGTAAATTAAAAGGTATGCATATGCTCTAGAAGTTTCTTCCTGCATAACTTGAAGCACCAAGGAAGAAAGCAAACAAAACCTCATTTCCCATTAACCTGTAGAACACTC